TAATAATATTATATTATTAGTTAATATTTTATTAATTATATTTTTATAGTATATTATAATATCTTAATAATATACGGTATTATTAATATATTATAAGTAATAGTAATATAATTATTATTTAAAATAATATAACAGCATATGAATTAATACATGTATAAATAATGATTCGATACAAATATTATACGATACCAAATAAAAAGTATATATGTAATTTCTTTTTATATCATGTTATTTTATAGTAAAAGAGTGTCGTTGAGCTTGCAGTAGAGAAGCTTCGAGTTGCTACAATACTTCTTTATAACGAAGAAGATCTTCGAGTGCAAAGGATAATACTGTGTAAAAAGTGAAATATTTTTACAAGATCTAAGATTGCTGCCATTAGATAGTGATCAGGAACCGAACCCGGTTGGCATGTCTCCAATAAGAACGAGAATCTTAGCATTCCATCGTAGACTGCATTTCTGGGTACCAGTCTCCTCTCCTTCAAAACCACGAACTCAGATTCCCTGGAGGCCTCGCCAAATTCCAGGGAATTTCTTCTGCTTAAGTCTGTTTGGAAGAGAAATTTATCTCAAGGGAGTTTACGGGATGGAAGCAGGAAAGAGATTTGTCCATGACTCACAGCTCCCTTGTACCTCTTCCAGGCTCTCCTTCTTCTTGCTCTTCCCAAAACCAATTTTGTTCAACTGATCTTCCATTCGACGTTTTGCCTTTTGCAGTGTTAGACCAACTCTATGTATATGGAATGATTCGTAGTTTCAGTGATTAATAGTGATTAAATTACATTTCTATTAATTATGTATTCTGTTATGTTTTATTCTGTTTTAAGGCTATTTTCAGATTAAGCTTTATATTATCCTTAATTATCCTAATTTTTCTATTGAAAAATTAGATAGATTATGATTTGACAGATTAGGGTACACAAACTGCTATGTAGTGTACGTTTAGTCATGAAAATTTTCGATAAATGAAATAATACGTACAGTATTATTTTTTAAAATTTGGGAATTAGATGTTTAAATAATTTCGTGGTACGTATATAAAATTAGGTGTGTAAAATGAGGTATATAAAATAGGGCTTATAAAAATAATGTACACAAAATAAAAAACAGTTTTTACAAAAATAATATATATAAAATAAAATTAATAATGTAAGATTTATATAATGAAATATATAAAATAAGTTTTATAAATTATTGTATATAAAATAAAATTGATAATATAGGGTTTATAAGATATAACATATAAAATAGAGTATATAAAAATTGAACACCCACATTACTATTATTTTCTAATTAATAAGCTTCTAATTCTATAAAAATAACTTTGAACTGAATATAGTTTACAATTCTCCATAAAAATCAACTCACCCTCGTCCAGACCTAGATGCACTACGATGATGACCATAATGAAAACTGGATTGCCTAACAAAGCTGCCATCAGTTGGAGACTCGCTGCTTTCGTGACTGTCAGTGGAATCAGTTCTCCCATATTCCCTTCGAAACCAATTCACTGTAATGAATAAAAGACTTTGTTACATGTATAAACAAATATGAAATAATTTCTGACGTATTTATAATTTTTCACATAGTCAATTTTCGTTGTCTCATTAGTTATTTATAATAGAGATTAGAAACGTATACCTATGCCACCGATCTGGAACCGAGTGGATTTTCGAATTTTCCCAGAACTCAACGATTCTATCCCTAAATTACGTTCACTCTGTCTTGGCGTGAGAATGTGATGCTTCTTTCTCAAATTTCCCAGTGGACTCTGACTGATCTTCGCATTCTCTTCGCTTAGCTCTGTTTCAAGAAGACTCTGAATAAATGTAAGATGTATAATTAAAACGAAAAGTCTAAAATAACAATCAGTTTCTTATTTTTAATGCACGTACTGCACAAGTCGAAGATGTGCTCCTCTTCTTGAAAAGAAATTTTCGAGTTCCTCTGTCGTCTACGGTGTAACACGTATCCCCACCGATATCCGCGTGCTCCTCTAAATCTGACTGGTGTATATGCCTGAAAAAGAATGTATTTAATTTCAAAAATACAAATTTCACAAACAAATACAATTAAATTATATTAAAATTGTTATGTAAATTTTCATGTCAATTATATCTATATATAAATAATATAAAATTGAAGGTAGTATTACTATTTTATATGTACATACATTTACCGTGTATATGCATATAATAGATAATTAGAACGAGATATCTGAGGTAAATAAATAGGTAAAATTCTTTTTATACTACGATTCTTTTCATATATTATAATTTTCTTTTTATACCATAATTTTCCCCTTATATTTCAATTCTCTTTCTATACTACAATCTTTCCTGTATAATATAATTTTCTTTTTATACAATTTTCTGCATATATTTCAATTTTCTTTCTATACTACAATTTTCTTTGTACAATATAATTTTCTTTTTATATTACAATTTTCCTTGCACAATATAATTTTCTTTTTATACCACAATTTCCCTGATATATTTCAATTTTCTTTCTATACTTCAATTTTTACTGTGTAATATAATTTTTTTTATACAATTTTCTGCATATATTTCAATTTTCTTTTTATACTACATTTTCCCTCGTATATTTCAATTTTCTTTCTATGCTACAATTTTCTTTGTACAATATAATTTTCTTTTTATACTACAATTTCCCTCGTATATTTCAATTTTCTTTCTATACTACAATTTTCCTTGTATAGTATAATTTTCTTTTTACACTACAATTTCCCTCATATATTTCAATTTTATTTCTATACTTCAATTTTTCTTGTATAAAAATATATCTTTTTTATACTACAATTTTCCTTGTACAATATAATTTTCTTTTTATACTTCAGTTTTTCTTGTATAATATAATTTTCTTTTTATACCACAATTTTTCGTGTATATTTCAATTTTCTTTCTAAACTTCAATTTTTCTTGTACAATATAATTTCCTTTTTATATTTTTATATACAATTCTTGTTACCTGATAACGCGCGTCGTTTGGACGTTGCTATTGCACCTCTTGTTAGGTCGATCCGCAGAATCCAAGATGCCACTTAGCGCGACACGTCGGAAAGCTCCACCATGGACTTCTTTGACGTAAAACATGAACTGACGCAGATCGCAGTACAAACTTATGTTCTCCTGCGACTTCAACTCCTTCAATGATTTCACGAATCGCGTAACCAGGGTCTTGAAAACGTAATTCAGAATATGACCTTCGATCCCACGAGCACTGTGACTGCTGAAACCATACGTTCCGGCCATAGTTCCGGTAGCATTCGCAGTTGCTGTCCCCGTGGCTCCTGGCGCGGGCGAACTTCCGGTACCGCCGCCAGCTACGGTGGTTCCCATGAAGTTGGCGCCGAAGTTCGTCGCGTATCCCTGCGAGCTTATCTCCGGTGACTTGCTCGATCCTCGTTTCTGATCTATCAGAGAAAATGTCTTGAGTTCTTGCTATCAACCTGATTATCTCGCTAATGCCGAAAATCAAGAGCAACAAAATAACCAATGCGGATACAAAGATGCGATTGCGGATCGAATCGAGATCTAATCGAGATCTTGCTGAGTTTGAAAATAAATCGTTAAGCAGCTGGAGACCGGTTATAATCGTGACGATTGTGATGGACACAAATCATGATCGAGATCTGGGCGAAATTTATTTGAAGTGGTAATAATTATGGAAATGGAAATAATTAATTTAAACGAAGTTAATTATTTAACTGTATTTCACGGATAATTCGTTATTTGGAGGAATGAGATTTATTTTAAAATTGGTAATTTTGTTTTCCGAATTATGTTTGGAATAAATGTTAAACAATAGTTACATGTAATATATATAATTATTATAAGTTATTTATTGTTAATTATTTTTTAAGAGCAAGCTGTTAGTAACAAATGCGAAATAATTATTGCTGAATGAATAATAATACTATTAATATTAATTATATAATATTAATAATCGTGTTATTATTACCGATATTTATTTCATTAATATACTAATACCTTTTTATAATAATAATAAGCGTATAATAACATCGATAAGAAATGTATAATATTCAAAACCAAATAATAATTGACAAATAACAAATAATTTATTATTCCCAATAAATCGTTCATTCGCAAATTCATTAATTAATCGATAACTTAAAGCGAAATACTTAAGAAAAAGTAGATTATTTTTCAAATATCGTCGAAAATTGGTATTTAATTAAAAATTAAACCATTTCGAAAATTTCTCAAGAACGACCAGGTCTGATCGCGCGACGATTATATCCCGAAGCAATAATAATCGTGCGTTTTGGAAAATTTGGCGAAATATCGAAGTATCGAAAGCGTATTAACCGTGCCTTCGTCGTTCCTCTCGATTTACTCACTAAGTGGGGATAATAACGAACTTGGATCCACGCAGAAGCCAACGAACGCGTGAAAGAATTCCAAAATCTCCGTTATGGGCTGTTCCCGCACCATGGACCTTAGGAAACGGGAAAACTGTTTCGAGCTGGCTCGGTGCAACTTGCTGAGGATCGTTTGACCCTGCGATCGACAGAAATCGACATGTGGCAGTCGTATCCCGTCGGAACAGTTGTGCGGACAGCCCAGGTGCTTCAGTACCCTGATCACACAGTTCATTAGGAGGTTGTGAGAGGAGAATTTGGATTTTTCCGAAGTGTCTTGGCGGAATTCTTGCTCGTTCTCCGCAGATTCTTTCTTTTTCCCTCTCTCTCTGTCTCTCTCTGTCTCTGTCCTCTCCATCACTGTTGCTGACTCTAATAACGTTGGATGAATAGGATTACTATGATCGACACATTGTTATTATCATATATAGTACATCGTGGCTCGATTTCCTTTTTATATATTTTACGTAGCTAATTATTTAGTATGATATATAGGGTGTCCCAGCAATGGTGATATAGTCGGGAACAGGAACGGTTTATTTAAAAAATTTTGCACTTTCTGTTCCACTATGCAGGATGTTTTAGCAAGAGGATGATTCTACGTGAAAAAACAAATTGAAAATGAAGAATAAAATTTTTTCGTTTGCAGCTTCCTTGTCGAGATATTCGACTTCGAATATTCATAGGGTATGCTGACATACTGACGCTCCAGCCGCCATAGTCATCTAAGTGCACGCGTACTCAGTGAATATTCAAAGTCCATTTCCTCGATAACGAAGCTTCGAATGAAAAAATTCTATTCTTTATTTTCGATTTGCTTTTTCATGTAGAATCACCCCCTCCTCAGTTTTACTACGATTATTGGCACACTCTATATAAAATACATTTTTTATACGGAATATTTAACAAAGATTTGATATGGGGTAAATAGATAGAGTTGTTAAATATGAATTATGGTTATTTTGATATATGACACTGTAATTTTGAGATTGTTTAAATTAATTATTAAATATTTTATAGAATTATTTGTACATTGAAAATTTATTTAATATTTTATTACATAAGGAGATAAAATAATTCCAAGTATTATTTAATATAATTAGAACGATAATGGAATTCATGATGCTATTATTAGTGAGTGTAACACAAAGCTTCCATTGACTATGGTCATCACGATTATTCCGAGGTCGTTTAATTTAATTATTAGCTCGATAAATGGTGATTTTATATAGATGCTCATCTATTTTGAATTTATCTAATATTTCATTAAACGAAAAAATGAAATAATATAAAATATTATTTGCAATAATTTGAACGATTAATTGTTTATTAATTAAAAATTCCAATATTATTTGTTTAAATTCCTTACATTGATTTTTATTATTGACTCACAATCAGTGAATTACCATTTTTTAATTACTATATATTTTACATTCATTCATTTATTCCTCTAATTTATTTCGTCTAATATTTAAAAATAGTGTAATATATTTTATATATACCATAGTTATTAATATCACTAATGATAATAATATTACAAGAATATAATTTTCGATATGAGAAAATGCCATAAGCTATTTTTATGTATAACATATATCGAAAATAATTATTTTTCATTTACCTGCTATGCTACCCGTAACTTCGTCACGAAGACACTGTTTCATCACACCCATCTCTATCAATAGTTCTACCATGTTTAAAATATTCTCGCATACTCGTAAGGTACAACAATTTGTGTCTCTCAAGGCAACCGAGTGTACAGCCTATTAAAATATGAAAAATACCGCAAATCAAATTTCAAAATTCAAGAGACACTTAACAATAGTAATTCAATGAAGGAATACTCACTTTTAAGACGACTTGAAGATCAATGTCGCCATCTTTTGTAATATAACAACAAGAGCCAGGTGCTTCCGGTATTTCGTCACTAGCATAAGTAATGTTAGAGTCTGTCTGAGACCTTGTGAGACTGGGTTTCCTTTCAGAATCTAGACGACTACCGTGCGTACTGATAACGTCTAATTGACTGTCAATCGAACCCTGCAGCAGAAACAATAACGAATAAAACAAAAGACACGATCTCGAATTTTAACAGAATTTTTAAATTCTTTAAATTCTTTTCAATTCCATAAATAAATAAGTAAATAAATCTCATAAACTTTTATGAAGTATTAAACGAGTACTTATGTAATTTGAGTCACGTAAACTGTTTATAAGTTCAACATGGTGGGGAAAAAAATTTTTTAAATAGGAGATACAAAAGGACTATCCAAAATTGACTTTTTCCAATCTTAACCCCAATATTAACTTTGATATTAACCCAGAAAGAAGGTAGCATGCTCTACATTAAAATTTCTCAAAATTCAGGGGATCAAATGATTCCTTAAAGGGTTCGATCTCGAATTTTTGATTCCACGCAAAAAGAAAAAAATTTAATTCTAAATCCACAATTATAATGCAAATACAATACAGACATTTATGTATTATTTTCATTTCCGATCCAATTACGAATTTTACCATTATTTATATCCAGGCCACATTAAAAATTGGTAGTCAGTAATAAATTTTACTTAATTAAAAACAACATATGTTTATACAAAATTTTGTTTTTATACCATTTAGTATTTTAGTGGTGATCTTATATATAATTGAATACATGAATCCTAAAGTAGGCTATGTGCTTCCTTACTTGTCGCTTCATGTAATCCGGGGATGGAGTAGGCGTGTGCTCAGTGACGGTGATGATAGGGTTCGGCGCTGTGTACAATTGACTATAAAATTGACTTTGTTTCCTCTCGATGCGAGTATCGCCGACGTACCTACGGGATAAGATCGATCAGAGACTCGTGGTGCGAAGAAAATTCTTTTCGTCAAGTCTCTCCATGCCAATCGGACACTGTTGGTCCTAGCCAAGCACTACAGTCTGATCTCTAAGGTTCTCATCTACTTGAGTGCGTTTGCCATTCCACGTTGCATGCTCGATGTGTTTCTTAACCGAGGTTGTTACTGTCTAACTGTTCCTTCGAATTTGGTACCGTGATCAGTTTCTTTCTTTTTTTAAATACTCGTGATCGAATGGGGTGGAATCATCTGCCAGGGGATGGTTTTCACCTTTTCTACAAGGTGCAAGGGATTCGTTGTACAAGCAACTAGAAGAGTGATTTCTCGAAACTTAGTACCAAAATAAAGTGAAAATGATAATGTATAATTTACTATTTATATTCAAATTTAATAATAAAATAATGAAATAAATTAAAATAATATTTCCTTTCTTGAAAAATTTATGAGGGTATTTATTTTATTACTGTGAAATATATTTTATTTTGTGTACGTATGTATATATATATATATTTAAATAATAAAATGAAGTGAAAATATATTTAATAGTAAGTGAGTATATATACATATTTAAATAATAAAATAAAGTGAAAATGATAAAGTATAATTTAATATTTATATTCAAATTTAATAATAAAATAATGAAATAAATTAAAATAATATTTCCTTTCTTGAAAAATATATGTACGTATTTATTTTGTTATTGTGTATACATTTTATTTTGTGTATGTATGTATATATATCTATTTCTGATTTTATTTCATTATCACAGTTGAGTGTGAATCTTAAATTATATTATATAATTCTTTTATATTGTATTGCAAAATGAAATATATATATAATAAAATTATATTCTGTATAAATAATAAAATTAAAATTAATCAAACTTTGAAAATTGTAGAAATGTTTTTGAATATTTCAAGTAGTATAATCTTCTAATTAAAAGTTTTTCTGTAAAAATCACTTCAAAAATAATTAATAAGGCTATTGATTATTATCACACATTTGTGAAATTATTTACTTTATTAATAAATAAGAAAATTAAATTTAATCAAAACTTGAAAATTATAAAAATGTTTCTGAATATTTTAAGAAATATATTTTCCTGGTTAAAAGTTTTTCTGTAAAAATCAATTTAATAAATACTTTCTTAGACTATTCATTATTATCACATATTTGTGAAATAAATAATATAATATATTTTTAAATGAAGACTCTTCTCTTCAGTTGTGCCACGAATTAAATGGTAAATTCTATTACAGGGATAAATACACTTGCACACTTGCTAGTAAATAGAATATGGTTGAAGGAACATGGGTCCTTAGTGAACAGACGTGTATTGAAAATATGGCAATTAGTGATGTTATTATTTACAGACTATGACAACTTGACAGTCGTCGTACATATAGCGTTTTGCAATCGACAAGTGAAATTTTTGGGAAATTTTGCTCGTTTGTTAAAAACAAAACAATCTTCTAATAATTTTTTCTTCTCATTTTATATTCTCTATTATTCCCAATATAAATTTATAATTATTCCTAAAGAGTTCGCAGAGTAAATATTCGCAAAGTCATACTGAGACCCTATGGAATTTTCGAATTTAGGAGCTAATGTTCCCTCCAACACATTAGCCTGTCCATACATAATAATCTATAAGCGTGTTCACCCACGATTGATCGCAAGAAAGCATTACACTCGCGTCAGGAGAGTCAATAAAAGCATGTATACACGCTATAATCGATCATGAGTCATTATCTCATGTTCTTCTCCACACCCATTACCTGATACCTATTTTTTCCCTGTAAAATTTTACTTACCATTTTTAATAGTTCACTTTCAGTATATTTTTTATTCATTAACAAACGATTATGTTCAGATAAGCATTCAAGGTCTCTAAATTATCCTATTATATTTTAAAATCTGTTTTTAGTATATTTTTAATTATTGAAAAATGATTATGTTCAATGTAGACATTTCAAGATTTAGGTTATTGACATATCTTTTGTCAGTAAATTGTTCTTCCTTTTTTCATAATTTATTAATTTTTTAATAATTTGTTATGTAATTTTTGTAATTTATTATATATATTTTCTATTGATTAATAAATTTAGATTTCAGAAATTTTATGTCAAATTTGAAGAGAATAAAAAAGAGTTTTAAAGCTTTTGGATAACTATGAAAAATTTTTGAAGAACTTTTGTGAACTTTGAAGAAATTAATGATTAAAGATGATGTCTGGTGCTCACAATTTATACGAACTCCTCTCGTAGACGATTTTTCTTAGAGATAATTATTGTTCACATGTAGATTATTCTGATATCTCTGATATCGTGATCACTCACGATGTGTACACGAGAGAATTACTTTCGTAGGGAAGCTAACACGTTGAAAAAGGCATTGATCCATTCGAAAATTCCATAAGTTTGATCTTAACAAGTAGGAAGTTTTCATACTTGATCTATGAATTCCTTCATTAAATATAACATTATTGTATTACGATGAAAAATAGTGAAATATTTCTCACAGCTTCTACGTACAGTCTGGTAACCATAATCGAATCTCCATGGCGATGACTATTCATCTACTCTATAGCCTGACTCAAGAAACTGTTAAAATTAAAGAGTATTAATTACTATGCACAATTACTGACAAATATTAAGGAACAAAGCAATCATTTGTGAACTTTTATATATTTTTATTTTCCAAGATAAATTAAAATTAAATTTATTAAATTTAATATTA